TCTGTGTCGATATAACCAGATAGTCCAGATACAAAGTTTGACTTACTGCTGTCATGTTGCCTCTAGGATGATCAAATACAAACAAAAAAATGGAAACCTCTTCATAGTTGAACAGATAAATTGATAAATATGTGGTTTATTGAACTGGGTAATCGGGGAATATAACTTATTTGTTCAAAGTATTCATTATTTAAGAAAAAAACACTGGTTTCATATTTTATTTTTGTTAAGGTAACATAAAATAAATTCTTGCAGCATCTAACAAGATGGCAAGTGGTGAAATAGTCCTGAGTGATACCTGTGAAATCATCAGAGGCATAGTAGGGAAAAAAGGGGCTTTAGCATGGCATGATTTTAAACCAGAGAATTGAGCATCAGCACAGCAACACAACTTGGTGACATGGGAATAACTGCACTACTAATGGTAAATGATACTACTTGATTCAGATTAAAAAATTAATATGAAGTTGAATTTTAAAACTCATTTTATTCCTGGCCGACTGCAGTTTTAGCAGAGGACCTGATCTCTACAGTTCAAGCAGGGACTTAATACCTTAAAGAAGTAAACATGAAGCCTGCATCATTACCATGTCTTATCAAGTTCTTCCGAAAGTCACAGCCTCAGAACAAAACAACCCAGCCCCATCTCAAAAGCATGTCCCGCAGACTGGAGCTTTTATTTTGTCACACTCAAATCATTAGCGAAGGTGGAATTTGGACTCACTGTGAGCACCTTTCGAGCTCCTGCACCCGTCTGCACTCATGTTATACCATTATTTTTAGACCAAGATGTGTTTAAGCCTGAGAGACTTCACCGGACCGCCTGGATTCAGCGTCGGGTAAAACCAACGTGCTCACACTGCTCGCACGTGCCCGACAAACCCGAGCCCCAAACCACGCAGAGGGATTTCACGTGCAAGCACAGGATGCAACCTGGTGCTTTGCTGTCCTCCTCACGGACAGTAACACGGGCCTCTTGCAAACAGCTTCTATAGTTTTCCTGGGTCTTCTGTAGGACTCAGGTTATAGGACACAAATCGGGATTAGAGAAGCCCTGAAGCTCTGGCTGCTGAGACAAGCAGCTTTGATCCTCCCGACGAGGACAGTAACCCAACACAACACAATCTGCATTACCAAGGCGTTGGCTTTTAAGAATCGGGACAAATCAACTTCATTAAAAAATATCCTACAATTATTTTTTTTTAAATGCTGAAATCCCTTACCAACAGCTCTCCAAAATACTTCACCAGGGGAACATCTCTGTTTTACAGGAAGGCTGGAGGACAGGGAGCTGGCTGTCCCTGGAGGACAGGGAGCTGGCATTAGCCACAGGGGTCACTGTGCGGAGCCCTCCTTGGCCGCCAGCAGCCCCAGTAGGTATTGGTGGCACTTGGCCTGTCCGCACCGACGCACCCGTCCCGCAGCTGCCTCCTGACTCCCCACGCCGCGCTCTGTACCTCACTTCTTCTGTTTATAACAAACACTTCATTTTCAGGAGGGTTGTTAGGATAAACCGTTTGCTTATCTACCTCATCGTTAGATGTCCTACATAGCTCTCAAGAGCAACCCATGGAAAAGGATGTCTAAATAGGTTGCTATAAGAGATTTGCCGCTGTCACAGCGTGCCACGGGCACATATATTAATGTAGGTTTTACCGCCACGTTCCCTGCTGGAAACAGGATAGCATTAGCCATGTTTTATAGCCAAGGACATTGCTAAATTTAAATATAACCTTTGCTAAACTAGAGCAACTTGCAACAGACCGTGGAACCAGAAAAGCGAAAACTTTCTATTGTTTCCTGGTGAGCAGCAAGGATGCGGAGTATTTCCGACAAATCTGATGAATTAGTCACTACAAAAGAATATAGAGATAAGATATAGGATTATTTAACTTCTAGGTGGTGTTACTTTTTTACTGAAATAGAGAGTTACCACCTTCTGCAATATAATGTGCCTTGGCATTTAATGCAAAGCTGTAAGAAAAACAAAGCAAAAACAAAATCATGCAGGTTCTAACAGAAAATAAACATAAAAGGAAATGAAACACACTCTTTTTACACGATTCAGTCTGTTTCAGATGTGTTATGAAAACTTCTCTGTCATATCCAGGGTATCCAAAATAATTTCATATGCATGGGCCTGTGAACGCACAGCATGGGTGAAAAGACCTACTTAGCGAGCAGTTTTCGTCATACACCTCTACAGTAAACAGACTCAATGGAAGAGGTCCTGATCGGAGACACAGAGTCAGCTTAAAACAGCAGGGTGGGGCGGGGGGGTAGGGTGAGCCATTTTTTGTTCATCTTCTCGCCATTAATACGCAATTAAAGCAATTAAATGCTCTTAGATTCAAATTGCCACCCCAAAAATGACAGTCATTTAACTGTAATTTATTGAGGCTCAAGTGTAATATAACTCTCCAGCTCTCCAATTTCTGAAAGAAAAATCTGACAATTATAAACATGCTTTTGGTTGTCCAAGTTTAACTATGAAGACTTTGGCGAGGAATAACTCCAGGCACCAGCACAGATTAGGGGTTGACCAGCTGGAAAGCTGCTCCGCAGAGAGGGATTTGGGAGTCCTGCTTGAAAACAAGTTAACCATGAGTCAGCAATGTGCCCTCGTGGCCAAGAAGGCCAATGGGATCCTGGCCTGCATCAGGAGGAGCGTTGCCAGCAGGTAGGGAGAGGTGATCCTCCCCCTCTACTCAGCTCTGGTGAGGCCGCACCTGGAGTATTGTGTGCAGGTCTGGGCTCCCCAGTACAAGAGGGACGTGGAGCTTCTAGAGAGGGTCCAGCGTAGGGCCACGAAGATGATTAAGGGCCTGGACCACATATCTTATGAGGAAAGACTAAGCGAGCTGGGCCTGCTTAGTCTGGAGAAGAGAAGGCTGAGAGGAGATTTGATCAACATATTCAAGTAACTGAGGGCAGAGAGATTGCGGAGTCTCCTTCTCTGGAGATCTTCCAAACCCACCTGGATGCCACCCTGTGCCACGTGCTCTGGGTGTCCCTGCTGGAGCAGGGGGGTTGGACTAGATGATCTCTAGAGGTCCCTTCCAACCTCAACCATTCTATGAGTCTGTGATTCTGTGAGATTACCTAAGGAAACCTCATATACATTAGCATAAATGAATGCAAAATTTATTTCATTAAATATCCTCTTCTGCATTAGGACATTGGACAAAAACTAATTATCATTTTTCTTCCAGGTTTTGTTCACATGTTACAATCACCAAGATTAGGCAAATAGTTACTCTTTTATTTAAGACATTCCTCCACCCTGACAGAATTTCCCCAAAGTGACAGTTCACCCCAGAGATGAACAAAATTAAATTCCTCAATTCACCTGGAATCTCTAGCAGTACCTGAAGCTCCATGTAAAGAATGATGTGCAATAAACAAGTAGCACAGGTGGTGAAAGTCATTCTAATATAGTTAAACATACCTCTAAACATATCACAGTTTTAAATACAGGTGATATTAAAGCCCTGATCCTGATCACATTTAAGTGATTTAAGGCAGCTACCAATTATATTAGGAATTCTCAGAGTGAGATATATTGGCTGAAGAAAATAAGCAGAATGGGTAAATTG